TATATATATATTTTAACAAACATAAATTGTGTACACAGTATCATAATAATATATATATATATAAGGAATTATGAATTTTTTCTATCTTTTTGCCTTAAATTTTTTTTTGATATTTTCTCTTATACACAATGTTAGATTATGATGGTGCTTCCCTACCACCATCTTGGCACCCTTATTCTTTTTACTCCACTTAGGTACATGAATTATTTGAAAATCATAGTCAAAATAGTCTTTTCAATGAAACTCTTTCTCTTGATTGAGGGCATTGCCATTATTCACTTTGTGGTGCATTGAGTTGGATGGACTATTTGAGAACCATCTTTTAATGGTAACTTGTTACGTAATGAAGCTAAAATATTTTCAATTATTTGGTTCAAATTTGCTCTTCCATCCATCTCATTTTTCTACCTTAAGTTAGTTTCAATGTTATTCTCTGTTGATAATAAATTGGTAAAAAAATGATTTTTTTTCTAATCTCTTAAAAAAAATAAACTTCTATATTTTTAACCTCTGTCATTTTTTTTCTAGGAGGTTTTCTGTTAATTATTTTTTAAAAGTCTTAATCTGCTAAATTATTTTTTCAACTTTCTTGTATGAACCTTTTTCTTTAATAACTGCTTTAATATTTAGTAATTCTTTCTATAGTGATTAAATTAAATCTCATAATGTGAAACTAATGTATTTATTCTTCTATTATCATTCACTAGCTTGGAAGTCAAGATGCTCAATGTAACAATATGACATTCTATGCTATCTAGCTTGATTATTTGGAATTGGAGGTGTTTAGTTGCATCCTATAACTTTATTGTGGTAAGCTTAATTTAATTTATTGCCTCATTATTTTTTTATAAGTAATGGAACTACACTAGACCTCTTATTCTATGAAAAATTACATATCTAATATCACAGCTTTTACATTTATATTTATAGCATTTTGATGTCATAAACGTACAAGTAAGTAAAAGTAAGTAATAGCAGTATATTTTATGTGATGTCTAAGTTTTGAGGGCTATGCATAAACATATAAAATTCATGTATGTATTAGATACTTAACTAGATGAGAATTGTGTGGTATGAATGTAAATGCCCCCCTTTTATTTTATTGATGTCATGACTAGAGAGAATGGATGACATTTAGATGGTCATTTTGTCACGTTCTTGTGGCATTGAAATCCATTTGTTTCTTATGTAATAGTATAATTCGTTCCTTGTACTTGGTCTTTTTCACCACTATTGTATTTGAGAATGAGTTGGGATCCTCAATACATATAATACTAATTTAACCACAGCATTGGTGCAGTTGCTCCCATTTTATTATAAATTTAAAATCAGTTTTGATTTTTATTGAGACTGATCTCAGTCGTTCAAAATGGATCAGACGGCTGAGATGAGCATGCAAATGATTTTGCTCTGAATGAATGTGTTTACGAAATTCGAAAAGTAGGCTAAAATTGATACAATGTTGAAGGACTTTATTGTAAAGATATTTTTATGATCTATTTTTGCTAAAAACAAATTTATAATAAAAATAAAGAGCAGAGTGCAGAATCAAAAGGTCTGCCCTAAATCATAAATTTGACTTCTTTTGAATGACAATTAATTATATGCTTATTTATTGACTCATCCTAATTTTTGGCTTTTTTTTCTCTTGAAATTTAGGCCTCCACGAATTTGCTTATCAAAGAAAAATCTAAATTGCCGGCCCAAGACTTTGACCAGTTCATCTCTCTCTCTCTCTCTCTCTCTCTCTCTCTCTCTCTCTCTCTCTCTCTCTCTCTCTCTCTCTCTCTCTCTCTCTCATATATATATATATATGATTATTCATTTTGTAAGTTATTTTTTCTCTAGGTGTGGACCTTATATTTTACGGATAGGATTGTAATCTGGCCAATTAGAGTCGAGTATGGCACGGATTAGACTTAGCTTAGTTGAATTATAAGTTATTCATGGTCAAGTTCGAGGTGAATTTTCACATATTTGTCAATATTTAAGTAAATTTTTTTTTAATGTTCATACTTGATTTGTATTTGATTTATATTTGATTTAATTGAATAAATTAAAAATTTTAATTAGTATCTAAATTTTCTTATAAAATTTAAAATTCAATTTGTACTTAAAATTCTACCTTTCATCTAGTAAATATGCTAAAAATTAAATGAGTAGTTAGTTTTTTAATACAAAATTATTGAAATAAATTTATAAGTCTAAATAAAAAAATAATTATATAAATTTTAAATTAATAACTATATATTGATGGAAGATATTTTTTTTTATTTGTATATATAATGAGTTTTTTTATAAAGTAGTACTGCTATGTTTTTGTACCAATGCTGAAATTTGAGAGTTTTCATTCCTTCAATGATAAATATAGTATTTCCCCTTGTAATGTTTGAACTTCGTTTACAATGTGCAGCCGTATTTTTAGAATTAAATATAGTCAAATTGTGAAGACGCATTTTGATGCCTCCTAGTAGGGGTTTAAGAGGCTAGTTTTTTGAGGAAGTAATTGTGGAAAAGCAAGGGAATGTTACTATGGGCAGACAAAGGTGTTTGGGAAGGGATATGCTGCACTTGGTTGTGGAAACTGGCCTTTGGATAGCTTGTAACAACACTCTTGACAATTGTTTGGACTAAAAACAGTTGTCAAAATGCAAAATATGGGTGGTGAGAGGGATCCACTTGTTCTTGTGCATGATATAGGCATACCACTTGCAAAAAGAAATATACATAACTCTAAAAACATAAAATAGAGAACCAAATTTCCAATAATAATAATAATAATAAAATAATTATATAAATAGTTATAAAAAATGCTCCAGGTCGCTATAAATGAGCTATGGGATATGCAAAGATTGTATCTTTTCCTTTCCTTTCTTACTCATTGTAGTTCCTACCTTTTCTCTGTATCTGCTACTGTGTCTGACAGAGGTGCATCGTCTGTTGATAGAGACGCCCTTCTCAAGGCCATGAAGGACAAGCGGGTGAACTCTCTTCAAAGGAAATGAGCAAGAAGATGGGGGTTGTGCTGAAACCACGAACTGAGGAGTGCGAGGAGCGAGCCGGGTCTTTGAGTTTCCTCGCTAGCTCGTCGCAGAAAAAGGTTGCAGAGCAAGTTCGAATTCGTTCTAACATTCGTCATACAAGGCACCCATTATGGGGTGAGTGTTCATGCCGGAGGAGAAAAAAATGTTTGTTCAGGTTGTTGCAGGGGCTATGGTACCCCAAGGAGGTTTTGAGGAGGAGTCAGGTGAAGCTGAGACATGGCATCGACTGACATGGAGCAGCTTTTCCTTTGAGGGTGGTGGGCTATGGAAAGCTGGTGATGATGTTTTTTTCTTACATTGCATCTAACTAAGGATGAATTTTGGGTATGTAACTTTATTTGTCTTTTGTATCTCTTTTTCTGGTGCAGTTATTGCAGTTTGACTATTGATTGTGTTGATAGATATCGATGTCGGTTCAACGGATGATGTGATAATGGTTGAGCGAATCCCTCTGAGGGGGAGTGGACACTGCGGAATTGGGCATGGTGGGGTAAGGTGTTATGGAGCAGGGTGTCGATCAAGGTGATTAGTAAAAATAGATGGAGGGAAACTTATCCCTCAGCAGGGGCTAGTGTGGGTTTCTTCCGTACTACAAGGGAAGAGGAGGCAAATAGGGGACGCAAGGTGTCCTCTGACTTCATAATGCGTCATCTTACTAAGATGGAGGAGTGTTTCCTTAATTTTATGGGTTATCCTCGAGGGGATAATAATGAAGGAATTATTGAAGTTATGGAGAGAGTTGAATAGGTGGAGAAGGAAATTATTGCACTTCACGAAGGTTGTTTTTCGGGGGTAAATGCTTGTCGATCACGGGGAGCCTTTCGAGCTTGTGTTTAAAACTGTCAGCCGTTAGAGAAGTCCTCATCCCTCAGCTTAGGGGTAGTCAAAATGTCCTCTTCAAGATGGGCGGTGAGTTTATTTATGAATGGCTTCGTCACCGAGGGTTTGTCTCGGATGAGGCTGTAAACAATCACTTAGTTAAGTTTTTCTTTTCTAGTTTTGTGTTCTATCTTATGAACCATCCAGTAACATGTTTAGTTAATTTCTAAATCTTTTAAATCCAAGACTTATGACAAAATTAAGAAGAAATTGAATTTCCTAAATTCAAATTTAAAAGTTATCATTTTTTCAATTCGTGAGAGAGTTGGTATAACTTCAGTGGATGATAAATTTAGTGAGAGTCGTCTTAGATGATTTGATCACATTAAACGCCGATCATCTAATAATTTGATTAGAAGAGTATATGTTTTAAATTAAACTTATGTTAAGAAATGCATAAGTCAACCTAAAAAAAGTTGGGCTTATTGTAT